AACAACAACAACAACAACAACAACAACAACAACAAGAACTACTACTACTACTACTACTACTACTACCACTGCCACTACCACTACGACTACTACCACGGTACGTCGTGCTAGCAGCAACATCTGTGCGCTCTTGGATGCTCGCTCGGGCGTGATGTATTTGCCATCCTTCGTTATGGTCGCAAAGTTTGTGACCTCAGAAAGCTCAAGCCCCGTCTTCGATTGGGGAGTGTCGATGCAAATTCCCTGAGGCAACTGGAGCAAGTGCATTGAATTCCTCGATGTATCCTGAGCTTTGTCCACACATGCAATGGAGAGCAGAATCATCGTCGGAGCTTTGCAGTTGCTGCAAGTACCTGAAGCTCAGCCGAGTGGCGCTGCTCGGTCGGATCCAGGTAAAGACCGACCATGAAGCCTTCAGCCTGCGGCAGGCTTGCACCATCGACCTCTCAAAATCCTGACAGCTTATTAGGCCTTGTGCTCGGCTGAAGGCCACAGGTCAGCCCCGTAATTCCCAGAGCACTTGATGCTGCCCATTCCCCGTGCAGCCGACCGGTCGTAGTCCAAAACCACCTGGAGCGGAGCAACAAACCTCTCGAAAGACCGCGCCTCCCTCTCATCCTGAAGCTCTCCGAAGGGCAGCCCCCCAGGGCCGAGACCTTGCCAGCCACGCCCTGGCGGATCGGACGGCGCTAGCAGTAGCTCCACTCTCATGTTCTGTCGTAGCAAGTTTGGCGAAGAGCTTTCTCGAGGATCTCAGGGCCGGCGGATGCAAAGTAGTTCATCACCGGGCTGCAGATCACGAGAAATGCATACCTCCGGACAAACGAAAGAATTCGGCAGCGACGGACACTGACTGATTCTTGACGATTCTTGAGTTCCTTTGTGCCGGGTGGCTCCTTGGCCGGAGCCAAGCCCAGCCTAGGACACCACTGGACCATGCTATGCAACCCGCGTGCGCCGCTTCTTTCGCTCTTTAACCAGGTTTCAAGGCAAGCCACGCCGGCCCTGTGCCCAAAAGAATGGGGCGCAAGTAGAGGGCGCCCCCTGTGCCTCAGTAACACTAAGTCATTTCTGCATCCATACACTTCCAACTTTGTGGCAATTGTGATTGTGGATACTCTGAGTGAAGCACCATACGGAGGCAGGAACGGAACATTGCTGCGGACGCAAAAATCCACAGCTTCCCGAAACTTTTCCAGCGACAGTTCTGGAATCAGCATCCTGAAGGACAGTCCGCCGAGTAAGGAGATCATGTGCTGCCACAATGTGCATGTCTTGACGCTGGACCTTACCCTCCAGACACTCTGCATTCACCGTCTCGTGTATGCCTTGTTTACAGGGAAGATTGCGAACGTGCAGGGATTGCGTGGGCAGGGCGGGGATTACGCACTGAGGCCTTCAGGGGGGTCGGAGAGGATGACGAGAGAAGGGGTCAGCTAGATTTCAGAAGAAGAGACCTGAGGGCAATTCCGCTTGTCTTGTGAGATTGGTATGCGCGGTTGATACGGTTGTCATTGCCCGACTATACATGGCAGTGAGAGCAACGGTTAGGGACTGAGACCTGCGGGCGGCCTCAGTACAGCTAGTCTAGCCCGCACCAATCTTTATATTGTACCTTCGTGTCATACACCATGCAGAAACCAGGACTGGGGAGTGCATTGTGTACTTAACCTGTCTTGAGGCGAGTCCTGGGGGATGTGCCTTAATTGAATTCCTACCCTTTACTCCTCGTGAATGCTTGGGGCTTCCTCGAGACGGGTCACATGTTCAAACTCCAGTCAAGGCTGGAAGCGACAAGAGTGACTCTCTAGTTGTGGACCTTCGCGAGGAAATCTCCCACCGCAAGCGTTGTCGAGGAAATCTTTCTATTCTGAAGGAAGGTCTCATCCAGGAAGGGATGAGAATCAAGGCCCGCGACATCCCGCTACGGTGAACGTAGAAGGGCTGAGGGAACAAGCAGAATGGGAAGAATAAGCAAGGGAAGGGGGAGTCGGGGTGAGTGTCAAACACATGGAAGTAATCAGCAAAACGGCTTTAGGTGCTAAAGTTTCTGCATTCTGCAATAAGCCTGCAGCAGTATCCCCTGCGGCATCAAGCAGACTGCTGCCGGCCACACAGTGCGAAGTCAGGGAACGTCTGTCATACCGGTCCTCTTGGCACCGCGAGACAAGCGCCCATGATTCCTGAGCTGCCAGCCGACTGAGGCTCCGGCATGATTTGCTTGAGCTCTGACTCTAGCTTCGATCAAGAATCGCTACATCGTTGAATACCCGCACGGATCCATCCTTGCAATGGAAGGCCTTCATGCCCTCCCACACCGTCTGCAGGGTCAGGATCAGTCAGAGCGGCTGCACTTCAAGACCTAACTTGCCGTGACGAACGTTTCAGGTTTTGCTTCCAGAGACCCGACCGGCAATAGTAACCTGAGCTTGTCTATGGTCATGCCTGGCCATAGTGTAAGGCGACGGAGTTGACATGCAGCCGCAAGAATGGCTCCTTCAAGATGACGTGGAATCTGCACTGGCTTGGGGAGCAAAATCAAAACTCACCTCACTGTTTCAGCGTCCAAGTCCTTGACCAGGCTCAGTTCACCCCACGTGCCATCTTTCCAAACACAGCCTTGCCATGCAAGAGGAGGCAGATCTCCAAAGACCCAATGCATTCAATACAGGAGCAACAAGTACAAGCGCCAAGGGGAAGTGCCCTTGTCAGCCTTTGTCGTGACGGTGTTTGACGCAGGGTTGCCTGACCGCTCTGGCACGTTGCGCATCATTGCCCTGTAATTTAAGGCCGTCCAACTTCGTGTCCCGTGTTCAAGACTTTTTGTTTTCGGCGACGTTCAATATCAGCAAACCCGAATGTGAGATAATGTGAGAGCCCCCACTGCTCTCCTTGGACGTCCCTGTCGCAACATAGGGATTCCCTGAGGACCGGTCGGTCTCCTTCGCTGGCACACTGGTGGCACTCGGCGGCACTGTGTACCCAAAAAACATCTGTCCTTCTTACACATTGCTCCCTGAATCTGTGAGTGCCTTCGTTTTCCCTGCTGGCAGCAGGGGTGGAGAAATGGCAGCCCTCACGTCTTGAGATGCCCGCAACTTCTTGTGAAAGTGCGTAGCAACAGCTTCTTCGGGCATGTCCAGACTCGAGCAGCTTCTTTCACCGCCATCAGGCTTGCATGGCAGCGGTTGCTCATGTGGGCTGTGATGGGCTGTGCGTGGCGGTACATTTCGGTCTTGCAGCCAAGCCGCAACTGTACCCGTTTGTGGGCTGCACGCCAAACCCCAGGGATTTCCACTCCAAGTTGGCAGAGCCAACAGCCATGGCTTACAGTGGAATTACGGCAACCCTGGGTGGCAAAAGACATGAGCTGAAGTTCTCGAGTTGATGGGTCAAGACCATTCGAAACCTCATGTCGCGGTGTCTTTGTCAATTTTGCTGCTGTCTTCAGCGAAGTTGGAGCCAAAGCTGCGACGTTCAAGCCGCTGGCTCACAGCTACCGAGCTCATGAACCAACTGAGTTTGCTGCGACGTGCCCACGTTTGCAAGAGGGGCAATTGCCTGTGACGCCAAATCTCGAAACTTGAATAGCGATCCGTGCGAAAGCCATGTCGGTCAGCTGTGTGAACACGTCTCCAGCCGCCTGTTGAGACACTCGGGACAGCTGTGGCAGGATGCCTTGAAACTCCTGCCAGCAAGACGGGCGAAGGTAGCTCGCTGTGGAGTCTCTGCTACGGTGGAGAGTTGTGCCACGCAGCAGTGGGCTTATCTACGCTGGCCTGCATCAGCCGAATGACCTTGTCGATCACGGCAGACAGTTTGGCATCCGTGGTAGGTGTCACCTGACGCGTTTTCACGCTAACATTGCTATCCTTCACAGAGAACTGGAAGATGGAAGTACCAATGGGCCTGACCAGGAGCGGAAGCCGGTGAAGCCTGCACTAAGTGCACTTGCAAAGATTTTCTCAGACGGACAATAACTTGATGGCCTGATTGGCCTGCATCTGTGGCATGGATGTCCCCGGCATTGCGCTTTGCACGCTGGGCAGTCGGGTTCCCAGCATGCCCTGGTAGCCTTGGGACATTTAGATATTTAGAGATCACGAAATCATGCAAGTGTCGATTTCGGGTCATTGCCGCCAGTGCCCTCGCGACCCATTCTGACTCCCGCGCCTCCCGCGCCACCTAGCTGCTGCACCTGCTGCTCGGCTTCATTCACAAGGTTGATCTGCCTGTCACATCAGCGCAACACCGGGGACCGGTGGCAGCAACACATGCTGAAGCAAGGCCTAGCTACGAAGGACTCCAGCTGATCGGCATACGGCGCAGCATCTGCCTCTATCGACAAGGGCTGCAAGATCGCAGACTACATCCCAAGGTCTGCCATGCAGCGCCTCCAGCATGGGTTGACGACCATCTCCAGCAAGCTGGATACCTTTCCTCTGCAATGTTAAGAACTCCTCGTGAAGTTGCTGAGCCTGGTTGGCCAAGGTGTTGAAGGCCTGACCCAAGCAGACCCTCGAAGAAACCCAGCTGTCAAACTGCATGGACTCACCGCACATCACAGCATTCTGTACCGCACTGTGCACGCCTGGCCTGTGGCGGCAAATTAGGCAGCTTGGGGTGCAACGCCTCGAATCGCTGCATGCCTGACTGGATCGCCTGCCAGGGCCAAGAGCCACAGAGAACAAACTCGGCCTCGCAACACCGCGCAAAACATGTCCACGTGTCCGTAATGACATGACTGAGGACCGAGGGATAACAAAGTAAAAGAAACAACCCTGCCGCGAATGATTTGCCTGCAAAGCTGGATCTCCACTGAGAATGGTTTCGATCTTAATGGGAAGAAACAAATCATAAAGGGCAAGAGTGTGAATGCCACGGCGTCCCTCTGCAGACTGAAACGTCTCGACGGCATGCTCAACTTTCTGATGCTTTCTGCCTTTGTACGAATAAACTGGAGCCTACGCGTTCACCAACGTCAATATCAGCGTGCTACTTGTGATGTAAACAGCACAGAACGACCTGCAACATGACATCATGTCTCCGTCCTGCAGCGTTTCCCGACAAATGCTAAGATTGGGTGGCACGCACCAATACTCCTGCTGTTTCTTTCTAGTGTCAGTTTGACCGCCATACAGGACCACAAAACCAGCTCGTTTAGACCCAGTGGCTCTGCAAAAAACGCGCGAGCCGGTGCCAGCACGTCCTGAAATCCGATCTCAGCCGATGAGCCCTTCAGGACCGGTTGGGAAATTCTGCGTCACCCTTCTGCATCTGGTGAGGGGGTTCCGCCGTCGGCAAGCGCATTTCCTTGTCTAGTCCCTCACGGGCACTCCAACACCCTGCGAAGATGAGCTCCTGTTTTGCAAAGTGCATTGCATATGATGGAGCACTTTCTGTGTGCAGCCGTCTTTGCCGGAGCATTTACTAGTAGCAAAGAGAGGAAGGGAAGGGACGAGGTCGGAAATTACGCATGCAAGTCGGATGCGATGCGTCTGCTGACGGCTAACGAGTCGAACGAGGGTTCAAGTCTTTCCCCTGCCTGCATGGCAGCTTGTAGCCTTCTCTCTGTCGACTCTGAAGCAGCGCCTGGCAGAACCCGGGTTCAGAGCAGTCACATTTTGGGACTGACCTTGACACGGCCTCCATTGACACACTAAAGTGGATAGGCAGCGTGGAAGGATTCAAAGACCCTTTCAAGCAATGCCGCCGCCGCCTCCGAGTCCCACAGAGCCACGATCCGGCCCCGGCAAGCTCCCCAAAGATACAGGCGCAAATCCTCAGCGTACTCGGAACAGGTCGACTCGTTAAATCATGTGCATGCCAGTTCATGAGTAAGCTGTGCGCCGCCTCCTCCTAGGCCCATGCCGGCACCCAGGCCCGCGGAGCCCAGCTGACCAGGCTTTGGGCTTCCGGGACCAATGCCCAGCCTTCCAGGAACTTCAGGCGGAATCGACAGGTTCTCAGAACGTCTCAGTAGCGCAACATCTTTAACGCTGAGGTAACTCTCAGCAGGGTGCCTGGATGAAACCTGGTCGACAAAGACTGCCAAATCCCTGTGAAACACGATAGCTTCCTGAGACATGCCATGGTCAGAAGTGCAGGCGAGATGGAATGGAGCAAACGTAAGACCGAGCATCTTCTTCAAGGTCTGGCCCTCCACTTCTGGCCACGAGCTTTTGCTGCATTTGTTCGAAGCGCTCGTGCAATCTCTGCGCCGGCTCTGCAATTTGTTGCAGTTCCGCTGGTGGCAGTGCTGCTATTCGCGGCTGCATCTGCTCAAATCGCTGCATGAGCCCTGCAATGCCCTCGACCGCATCCTGCAGCGGTGCTGTGGCTGCCCCTGGAGACGGTGCACCACATCCACTTGTTCGAGGGAGGGGAAGCTGTCCCGCAGGCAGGACTACCAACAACGCCAACACCAGAAACCGGCTCCACGTCTGCGACATGGCGCACCGAACAGGCCACGTGAGTACGTACTACCTTAAACGTTCTGCTGCGGTTAAACGTGCTGGTTAATCGTGGCCATTGCAAATCTTGTGGCCGGTGCCAATGTTCCAAGGGTCGCACTAGGCATCTTTGTGCTCTCGTCTTGCCACTCAAGCTGGCAACACCATGTCTTGCATGTCATGTGATTTGGCATATACAATGATTCTATTTACCTCTGAAGCGGTCCTTGAGAGCAGGCAGCAGGCATGCAATGCACAGCAAAATATCTACGGGATTGCGAAACAGGGGAACTCGTCGTCACAGACGGGAGATGACTGCATTGGTTGGACGGTTTTCTTCGACTGGGCCGAGTTTCCGACGCCTTCGTGAGGCATTCAGTCGCGCAAGACAAGCCCACATGTAAAAAACCCATAATACCTAAGCCTGTTGCACCTGAAATTAAAGCAGGTTAACGCGCTGCCCATCATCTGTATTATAACTACTCGAGGAGCAGGCCATGGACAACGAAAGCTAAGTGGGCTTTTATCCCCTGGACCAGAGTAGGAGTAGTAGTTGTAGTAGTACTAGCTGGAGTAGTGTAGTAGTAGTAGCAGCAGCAGCAGGAGTAGTAGTAGTAGTAGTAGTAGTAGTAGTAGTAATAGTAGAAGTAGTAGTAGTAGTAGTAGTAGTAGTAGTAGCTGGAGTAATAGTAATAGCAGAAGTAGTAGTAGTAGTAGTAGTAGTAGTAGTAGTAGCTGGAGTAGTAGTAGTAGTCGTCGTCGTCGTAGTAGTAGTAGTAGTAGCAGTAGTAGTACTAGTAGTTCTAGTTCATATTAGTAAGAAACCTATTTCCAAACAAGGCAAATCTCAGAATCCTCTTGATTCCAAGATAGTGAATCTATGATTTAGTCAAACGCAGCACTCCTCTTCCATCATCCATGTAAGCTGCTTGTAGTTTGATCTGGGCCTTGTGGTTCAAAGGGTCGACTGAGTGTTTGGTGCTTCAGGTTTGAAGTTTAGGATTTACGACACGGTTTAGGGTTTAGGGTTTAGGGTTTAGGGGTAGGGTTTGGGTAGCCTATAGACACCCCTGGCCGGAACACCTGGGCGAGCAGTTGTGCCGGACCTCCGGCCCAGCAGCCTCGCCTCTTTGGAGCCTACTATACCCAGAGGCTCCATGTATATTACCATTGTGGAATTAGTCCCGAAAGACCATCTTTGTTGTGGTCTTGGGGCTCTACTTCCAGAATAGTAGCTGTTTGGACCCCCTAGGATAGAATCCAGAATGAAAGCAAAAGGGGCTTGGGCTTCATCCGGAGGATCCCCAAAGGCGTCTTGTTTGAAGGGTCACAAAAGAAAGCCTGTATATAAGGGCCTTAATTATTGGAATAGGGTAGGAACCCCAACCTAAAAATAGTATTGGTAGTAACTATTTAGGCCCCTATAATTTTCCCGAGCAAGAGATCTTAAGCAACAAGTATTTGGGTGCCTCGGTTCCGGCGGAACAGTCCGAAAGGTTGAAACCCTCTCAGTTTAAGGCCTCGCAAACCAATGTCTCTAATTTTCAATGTGTGTTGGGTTTAGAGCGGCTTCCCCTAAGCCCCTTAGGCACAGTAACCTCCCAAAACCCTAGATCCGCCTATTGAGCTTTTAGATCAAATCCGGAAAGGGGCTGCCCTCACTTGTTAAGGGGATACTGGGAAACCTATGCTTTGAAACTCTCCCACAGCACAACACCAGCAGTCAGGTGGCCTTCGGGAAGGGCCTTGTCACCAGCGGGCGACACGCGAGGAATCTGGGATGACATGGCTTCAACATCCTTAAAACATCCCGAAACCCTGCGGTGAACGCCCGAAACCCCGAGTCCTAGACCCCGAACCTCAAACCTTAACTTTGAAGGCCCACATAAAGGTTCGGAATTTTGGCGGTTTTCTCCTTTGTTCCGACTTCAAAAAGTTTTAGGCTTAGGTCTTTGGATTTAGGGTTTGCGGGTTTGGGGTTTAGGGGTTTTGGGTTTTAGGCCTCTGGGGTATTATAGGGCTCTTCACAGGGTTTCTGGGTTCAGGGTTAAGCGTGCAACACCGAATAGGTTCGTTTCTTGTTGCTGTTCCCGCTCCTGCGACGCTGGTCCATTCATAACCGCTTCCTGTACAAACCCTACTGCAAGTCCTAAGCCCTGGGCCCTACACCCCTAAACCCTAAACCCTAAAAGCCCTTAAAGCCGTAAGATCTACACCGTAAATCCTTGGCGGCGGTGATGCTCAGGATGGTAGATCCGGGTCTTCCAATATCCTATAAGAACTTACAGGCTTCCAAGCAGAATGGAGTGTTGCCAACAGAAACTTCCCTATCCCCGAGGGATGCACGCTCGGACCAGCAGTGTCACTTGTCACTACATCTTTCCATGAGCCTCACATGACATTGGAGTTTGATGATGAGGCACGCGCCCTGCATCTGTCTTATACCAGTGGACCAGGGGGGCTTACTGCAAGGCCACGTTTCGCGAAAGACAGGTGGCACACAAACGGCTGCTCGCCTTGGTGCACCTTGGCACGTTGCCGTGCGGGCCGAGCTCCTTCTGCTGCTGAACACGCAGACTGCCAAGGCGCACCAGCGCGCCGAAGCAGCCATGTCCAGTGCCATGGTGGAGGAAGCGGCAAAGTGCCCGGCTGCACCTCGTCAAGGCCTTGTAAAGCCAGCCTATCGGCAACCAGGAAGATTCACCTGCGACTGGATTCGTATATGAGATCTTCTGTGGTGTTCATTGCGCAGCGAAGCCTTTGAGGAACGACGCTTCAGAGTCACCAAGGACCATTTGCAGGTGTGCTTTTGGTTGCTGAAGTTGGCAGGGTGCGTAGCTTCTCGCGCGCAATGTGTCTCTGCAAATCTGATTAGACTTTCCTCTAAATAGTATTACCCGCAGAAGCACCGTTTGAAGACATTGCGTTGGGGGACTTGGCCTCCGACCCCGATGCGGTCAGCACCCCCACTGCGCAAGAGCCCCTAGGAAGCCTTTCGCACCTTGACCACCTGAAGATTTTGCACCTTTCCCAGCAACCCAGCCTGCTCCACAAGATGACAATGGTGCTATAGTTTACGTCACGATGCTCCCTGTGCGCCCAACGTCGTGGACAGTCCCGTAGCCGCAGCGGCCACGCCAACGGTATAGAGAGTGCTCCATTGGCACTTTGACAACCAAAGACGTCTACAGAATCCTTCGAGATCCCTCGAGAACCTACAAAACCTCGACGAATCCTTCAAGGAACCCATATAGAACCCTTCTATATCCATGGAGGAACCCTTTGGAACCCTTTAAATCCCTATAGAGTCCTAGAGGCCTAGAGGAGCCCGCAAAAACTAGTTCAAATTTTTGATAAAGGAAAATCAAGGAACCTTTTCAAAGCCGCAAAAGTACCCTTGAACCCCTTCTTAAGGTCCTTAAAGCCTTGAAGGAACCCTTATAGAACCCCTCTACAGTCTCTGGGGAACCCTTAAACCATAAACCCGACACCCTTAACCCTGAACCCCAAGCCCCAAATTCCTGAACCCCCAAGCGCCCCAAACCGTCGCAGCACATTTTCTTGTAGGCGGCTCGTGGTCGCAGCCGCCGGGGCCCTCAGCCGGGTCGGTTGTTGCCCAACAGCGAAGGGTGCAAACACGAGGGGGGGGTGGGGGCTTCAGTTTAGGGGTTTAAGGGTTTAGGGCTTAGGGTTTCGGCTTCAGGGGTTTAGGGGGTTAGGGGATAGGATTTAAGGTTATTGAGCTGAGGGTTCCTTAACAGGTTCCCTTAAACGATTTGGGTATGGGGAACGATTTGGGTATGGGGCTTCGTAGGGTTCCCCGAAGAAGATGTTTAGGGGTATTAATAGGGCTTCTACAAGTAAGGGTTTTTAGAGGGCTCAAGGGCCGAAAAGGCCCGGATAATTGGGTACTTGGGTTGCGGAAAGTTGTTATGTAGGTTTGTACCGGGGCCGGCATATAAATATCAGGTACATGGACCCGAGGGGTTTGGTGTGCAAGATTCGGAGTGTAGACTTCGATGATGTGGACATTCATCGCACACAATATTTTAAAAACCTGTGACCACGATCTGATACAGCAGACTCAGTTAGTCGAATAAGGCTTTGCTGTGTTCAAAACCATAGTTTAGTAGGGCGTCTTTTGCTTTGCAAACTATACAGAGACCCCTGCAGTAGGGGGCACAGAACCGACCGCCCATCCAACCAGCAGTCCGAGAGCGAGACACAGGGAGAAGGGGAGAGAAACCACAGAGCGAGTGGGAATGTGCCGATCTGACGGTCATTGAAGCTGGAACCCGAAGTCTTGTAAAGCATGCATGAACCCAAACCCTCACTCATAACCATTCCTCAACTCCGAAATTTGCAGCGCTCCTGAAGCCGAAAGCCCACATTTCAACGAAGGTGCTGAAAGCCCTCAACCAATTTGCGAGGCCAAGCCTTGCACGACCGCGCCGTGGAGGCTCTATTGGGGTCTACCTTAAGGGTGCAAAGGACCCAATAATTCAATAAGGGGTCCTGTTTAGGGCACCGCAACAATTCTCACACTCACTGGCCCCCGCTGGGGTTTTAAGTTTCAGGCTCCGATGGACCTAATAATCGGGTACTTGGGTTTCGGATAATAATTATGCAGGTCAGTATTTGGGAGAGGATATGATTATGAGGTACTTGGACCCTTTGGGCTTTGGTAGCCTATCGTTTCTGTAAAGCAGCCGAATTGATCGCCGATTCTTTTTTTGAGACCAAAGATGAATCTTTGTATACCTGTGGTTGACAAACAGGCTTCTAGCGGTAGGACGACTAGGCAAACGGGTCTCATTGAGCTTGCGACAGACTCACCAATAAGAAGCAGGGACAAGAAGGAGAAGCCAACCTAAGGTTTCGTTGCGTTTGGTTTTGTTTCTCGGCTAACTTGCAGGATCCTACAGATTATAATTGGTTAGATGAGACGAACAGGAGGAACTGCAATGGAGACTATAGGTAGCTTGTTGGAACCTGATTAA